TCTACTGTGACATCATAGATTGTGTATGCGTGTGTACAATTACACAGCTTAATCAGCGCGAAGTCGTGTTAGCATCCAGGCACGATAGTGAGCCCTTAGATTAACAGCGGAGGCTTGAAGGGAGGGATGCAGCCTTCACATTCATTTTCCTCAGCTGCTGCTGTCTCCCAGCAGTTCCCTGCCTAATGACCATTTCTTCTTTCCACATGATGTCACTTTTTGTGGACAGTACGCTATTTATTTATCTGTCAGTCAAAATCAGAAAGTCAGAAAGCAGCGGTCAAATTATGGAAGTGATGTGACCTCACACTTATTCTGACACTGTAGGCAGAACACTTGAGTTAAAAGCAGAAAGGTGAAAGTTAGACCTCCACTGCTGTCAAATGACTGACAACTTATCTTTTCTTCCTTTGTAGTCGATCAAAAGATAACAGAAATGTCTGAAAGTAAGACTATTCCTTCACAGTTTTTATAATTTCAATCATTGCATATATGTATGTATGTATGTATGTATGTATGTATGTATGTATGTATGTATGTATGTATGTATGTATGTATGTATGTATGTATGTATGTATGTATGTATGTATGTATGTATGTATGTATGTATGTATGTATGTATGTATTATTAACATCTGGCTTAAAGACTAATTTTGATTCAGAAGGGAAATGTGAAGATTCATGTAATGGGCTACAGGATAGAAATGGGGTTTGATTAAATAAGGTAAACTTCTTCAGACTCCTTTTCAGATTCATAGTCACCAAACAAGTGGTGTGCTTCATGTATTTGAGTATGTGTTTCACTTAGAAAATATGCAAGTTCTGCTTTTTTATCTGTTGTTTTCTCTTGGTGAAATGTTTGTCAGAAATAACAATAGCAATAAAAGAAAAAAATCAATTTTATTCACTCATTTTCAGAATTTTTGAACTTTCTGGCTTTTAATAAACCTTTCTCTGCAAAGGAAGTGCTGTGAGAGGCCCCAAATTTACTTGAACAAAGTAATGCATTTTAGTTTAGACAAGGAGCTAGAAATAAAAAAAAAGATATGTCAATAAAAGGTAAAAGCCTGTTTTTGCCCAATCAAAATTGAATGATTAAGGAAATAAGATGGTAAATATAAAGGTTGTTTTTACCCCTGATAATGCGGTCAACTTGGTTCAATTGGAGACAAAAATTACAACAATTGTTCCATTTTCAGCTGTTGCAATTCTCTGCTGTGCCAAACAATCCATACCCTTTGAGCAACCTATTCCCTCTTAACCTCCCCAACAACCACTGTAGGAAATGACATGAAGACTTCTGGAGAAGACATTTTTCACAAAATATAAACAGAAATAGAGTGGCATCAGGTTTTAGCAGTTGTAGGACTTTTCTCCTAGTCTTTGACAAATTACCACAAGCCGTTTGGTGCATTTGTTTTGGCTATATTTACCCAGAAGTTCACTTACTGCTTTTGGAGCCATCTCCGCATTAGAACTGTATCAGAGTTCACTTGAGCTGAACCGAGAGCTAGGTTTGTGTAATGACCAGAGCTCATTACACATTCCCCATTTCCCCAAACCAACCAGACTTTCGAGGCAAACTGACTGGAGATGGATCAAAGTGGACTAAACAGGGTTGGTGTGAATGCATCCTAAAAGTTGGTCATTTTATCAATACACTACTTTTTAAATTTCCCTCTTACATGCTTCATATAGGGGGAATGGAGATGTTACAGCTGAGCTTGACTGAGGGTTTTATATTTTTGTTACCTCTTTTTACCCTCCCATGTCATTTTACTTTCTTTCTCTCGTCTACCTTTTGGTTTTCTGTGCTTCATCTCTCCCTTCATAACTCCAGGCTTACATTTAAAAGCAGGGACAACTACTCAGGAATAAATTATACTACTTGTAAGATTAGCTGAAGACAATAATTACCATTTGTTTTAATCAAAGCTGTATCTCTTTTGGCTCCACTCTTCTCTGTTCCTGTTCTCATCCTTTTCAGCTGCATCTCCCTCCATAGTAATGACTTTGATGTTCTAAAATAATTAAATTATTAAATTGCTCACATGACCTCTGTCTTTCTTTGCTGAGCTGGCACCATATAGTACATAACTGAGACCATCTTCATTGCTATAATTTGTTGCCTCTCCCCCAATCTTCAGGTTCTATCATTAATTCTTTTTGATATCACTTCATCACTGTACACAACAAAGAACTGGTTGGAGAGCAATAGCTTTGCCAGGAATATATTTAAAATTAAGATATTTTGATAAAGTCATTAAGAAATGACAATTACTTACTTATCACCTGCAGCAAATAAACAAATGTGTCATTGCAAAAGCCACCAACTTCACTGGATATCACATTTTTTCCACTTGTTTGATGCCACTTGTGAAGTTAGCACTTATAAGATATATTAGTTTTAGTGTTCAATTACTTTTAGTCTATTCTACAGGGCCAGGATGGAGGACTGTTTTTATTCAACAAATCATATTTACTTTACATAAAAAAGACTCATTTTTGTCTTTACTTGTTTTTCATTTATTTCCTACAGCGTCCCACTTATTTTTCATCCCGTGAGGTCTCGAGTTCCACAGGTGATGGTTACTGAGACTACACAGCAGCCTTCTATTTACACAAACTTGGATCTAGAAATTGTAGACAATAGCCTAAAATATTTGAAAAAAAATACCTTAAGAGTGATAAATGTAGAAAATATTCACTACAGTCAGCCCGGTTAGCTTAGCAAAGTACTGCTACGCCAACTCTAATTTTGTCTTTATGGAAAATTGTTAACGTCCTTGGAGAGGCGAATGAGTTAGATTTTAGCAATAAAACAACTCAGCTTTTTATTTTTTCAACCATCCCATAATGCAATGTGAGTGGAGCATCTGCATAGCAGAGCTGAATTTTATATGTGTGTGAAATTAAGCTGTGCTATTTCTGGGTAATTGCTATTGAATTTCTTACATTTTTATTTATTAAATTTTATGAATAAGTTATGAGACTCATTTGATTTTGGAGTTTTGAACATCATTTAAAGCAACTGGTAGTTCAATTTTTCAGATTTTCACATCTATGATATCAATTTTCTTGAAAAGAAATGATTAATGCTAACCTTGTCAAAATGGACGTTTTGATGTATAACCAGTCCATTAACCACCCAGAGCTGTGCACCTTCAACCTTCTGCCTCACTAAATAATAGGTGATGTGCATCAAATATGGAAATCTGACTTGACACATCCAGCTGACAATGGATGTCAGGCTGAATAGCGGCACTTTTCTGAATTACTGTGTCCATTTAAGGCACTGTGACTTTCAACCATTACACATGACACAATAGAAACTATCAGGTTTCTTTTTCTATTCAGGTCTATGCTGGACCAGATGTTCTTCCATCCATATGGAAGACATACATCCAAGAGAAAACCCTTATTTACAATCCATTGATCTAAGTCAAACCCGTTTCACCTCACACCACTCTCCCTTTTAGCTCTGCAAGCCTCTTCACCTTAAATTCTTTCAGCTCCTTTCTGTCTGTGCACTCTAGATCTGCTGTCTTTATTCATTCCTCACAACAGACACCTTTCTAGTCCCATTTGTTGCTGCACAGGATGTCTTAAATTGTTGGTTCCCTTGCCTTTTTTTCATTCACAACCCATTTCCTCTCTGCAGCCTTTTGTTTATTTTTTTCAACCATGCCATCGCCCATCCAGGCCAATATTCCAAAAACAATAGGCTTTCACCTTGGATTGTGATATGGATGTTTGGTCTGTGGAGACTGAAGCACAAGGAGACAAAAAAGCTATAATGTGTCCTTTGCTTTTTATCCCTTTATAAGCAAATGGTGAATGGTATACTTCTGTTTTAATTTTCACACCTTAAGGCACAAATAACCCACACCCTGCAGTTGAGCACCATAAACAGGATTACATAAGTGTGATAACTACTGCAGAGGAGGCAGAGGTAGCAGGGGGATATCGGGTTCTTTGGAAACTGGAGGTGGATAAAGCAAGAAACACCCAGTACAACATCTTGCTTGGTTGGCTTCCCATGACTGTCTCAGTATCAGCCCACCATCAGCCTGGGGAGGGAGAGATGGAGAAGAAGTGATGGTAGGACAGATAAGAAGGAAGAAGAAGAGGAGGAAGAGACGGAAAAGGACCAAGGGAGAAAAAATGTGAGATAGATGCTGGAAAAGGTTAAGGGGAGAGAAGGGAGCCAAGAAAGGTTTTATCCCTCTGGCCAATTATGACAAAGCAAGGATAAAGATGTCAGGCCACATCCTGTCCACAGAGGGAGAAGGGAGTCAGGATCAAGCAACAGACAATTAGACTACAAACCACGAACCCTTAGCCCAATGTGTTTGTGCCTTTCTTCCTATCTAACTTCTTCTTTTGTCTCTAATTACATCACTCGAGCCCCAACCCTCTCCCCCCACTCTGTGCTGAGCATCCTCACAGCTATCCAACATCAGCACTTGATTCTCCTCAGTTTTCCAAAGCTTCCCTGAGGCCGATCAAGTGTCACTTGTAGGACTGCAAAGGAACCAAATGCGCTGCAGACACTGCAAGGTCACCGAACTCACTTCCGTCACAGGAAACCTTAAACCTCCCATTTGCCTCTTTCAGTCCCTCTTTCTCCCAATTGCTGCCAGAACACCCCTATGTGCTTCTGAGGCAATGTCACACTACTGTTCTCACTTTTCACAAATCATACACATTTCCCCTGCATTGATGGCCACTGAAGATACCATTTTTCAGATGCCTTGCTGAGAGCATGTTAAACAGTGATGCTGACCTTCCAAGGACAGACAAAAACAAAATTCTCTTTACTCTGCAGTTTCTTGGCAGAAAACTATTTTCTACCCTATTGTTTAGAGGAGAAGCAGAGATAATTGTTAATCTCAGCATTTCAGTGATTTTGAAAGGCCGAGCAGTCGATTCACAAACAATGATGTAATCTCTACTGACACTTTTTTATTTTAAACTGCCATAAAATGAACACTACTCACCATTTATTTCTGGATCTTTTCCGCTCCCTTTCACACTGGGCAAACAGTTTTCCAAGTAAACTCCATTGTGATAACAACTATTACCCACACTGAGCTGTGGAGGCTTATCCCAGCACAGGCAGGGGGTCTGCATTATGCCACAGGGTCTGTTGGATGTGCTGGAGGCTAAGCAGTCTTCCAACCATTGGCAGAGCATCTGGCAGGCCGCCATGCTTGGATTGCGCTTCCCCACCACCAGGTACTCGGTTTTAAAATCCTCATCACCATTTTGGATGGCCATCCCTGCCCGAGGAGGTCCTTTCCTCATCTGCAGGAACTGTTTTCCAGCCTCTAGGAAGGCCACAGGAACAGAGGAGTCACACAGCCTCACAATCTCATCAAAACTCTCCATGCCAAGGTAGGTACGCGTAGTCTCCAAGAAAGAGTCATACTGGAAGGTCCGCAGCTGAAATGGCTGGCAGCCCCCTGTGGGTTTGGTCACCTTGATGAATGTTGTGTACCGTCGTGGATCTGGGTTCTGTAGGGTCCAGGAACAAGGCACAGTGGGGAACACTGATGATGACAAAAAGAAACCAAAGAAGCGGTTTTGAACTAAGGTGGAGCAGGAGTCGGACTCAGGGCCCGAGGGGGCAGCATGGCAGCAATCGTCCATCAGTAGAAAAGTGGCACAAAACAATAACAGTGCTGGAAAAGGCCATCCTGAATGGCCAGCAATGAGAAAAAAGTTTTTCATGGTTTCCAGTTGAAGGAAAGAAGGCAGTTCCACAGGCACGGTTGATGGGGTCTGGTTCCTGGTGAGTCACTTCCCCAGTTTTCCATATAACAAATGCATAGAAAATGGAGAAGGGGATGGAAAGATAGTGACAAATGTGAAGAAGTCTGGTTCTTCTCAAAGATCCAGCGATATGCCCATGGCTGAGTTAGACAACCCTGAGGTTTGCAGGAATCTGTGAGATGGGAAAGACAAGATACAGATTAGATTTAGGATCTGATTATACAACAGAACAAGATTACACTGATTCCATTTATCCTCACAATAGAAAATACCTATCTGCTATCATTGTTTGTGCGGTTTTCTCAGAACAACTGCCACAAATGAAGCTCTGTAGTTGTGGCAGAACAGAACCAGGTAGAACCCAGGTAGATGGAAGCAAGGAGCTGGCAGTGTAATGGAGTTTTTCTTCATTATGCAAGTTCAGATTGGTCTTTTCCTGAGAGACTACTACTTTCTTCACACGCCTGCTTCCACACTTCATCTGGCAGCAAAATCATTTGTCCAATTAGAAGACTATTAATTACAAAAATGCAACAGCTGCAACCATTCATTACTGCTCTTATTCTGCTGTGATCAGGACTCTGTTTTTGCTTTATTAATCCCCCCAAATCAGCTGATGCCTTAAGAGAAGAGAATTTCAATAACAAATTATTTATATTCTTATGGTGGTCTGATGTTTTCAATAAACATTACAAAATATATTTAGTAGAATTTTGCATTGTTATTTCAAAGATGCTTGGCTGAAATATAAATTAGCTTAGAAAAGGAAAATAATTCAAACTTAATTTTTCTGCTTTCCTAAAAAGTCTGTTTATATTTTGTGAGAAAAACATATCTATATTTCAGCTGAATGATTCCAACTGGTTCAATGTAGAGAAGAAGAAAACAATAATCTTAAATTATTGTATTTCTCAAGAAGTAAAAAGCAATGTAATTTTCATGCTTAGATAATAACATCAGGTGACAAGTCTCTCGGAAGTGACATGCAGAGTTTGTTAACTTCATGTACTGCATGTAGCAAATGTATTTACAAGTAATCCTTAATTCATAGATTGCATTCTACTTTTACTATTAAACTGAAAGAAGAAAACAATCTCATTAATATGACATAGAAAATCTTCAAGATCCTTTGTCAAGTTCACCTAATTAGATCATAATCTCTAAACAGTGACGTGCGTTTTCTCTGGAGTTTCTTACAGACACCGGAGAAAAATCCAACCTTTACCTTGAGTTTGTGCAGTTCAGCAAGATCAAAATTAAAATGTAAGATTTTCGAAAAACAATTACTGCTAATTACAGAAAGGGCAAAAATGTAAAACAACGGACCTCATGCCTGCTGTTAAGCATAGTGGAATATGTGTCATGCTGTGGGGCATGGTGCTCTTATTAGCGCACAAGTCAGGTCTACTGTGTTTTCCCAGCTCCTCCTATGCAGATGTATGCAGACAATTGGATGTCCACAATGTTCAGAATTCAATGCTTTACTCTTTCTGATCACCCAAACAAAGCTGATTTGTGTAGTATGTAGTCTGGAACGTAATGTTATAATATTAGACAAACAGGTAGTTTTTCCATTGTTTTTATTATTTCTTGTTTCATCATTATCACATCACACAATGCTTCTTTCAGTATCATAGGATTAATGTGACTAATGAAAAAATGAAAGCTGTGAAAGTTTAGGCATGGCTGAAGATGAGGGAGGAATGAATTATTTTATTTTTCATATTTGTAATGGAGGAAATTCCTAATTCATATTTTCAGAATAAATTTTAAACAAAATAAATAGACATTTATTTTGTTCATACAGTTCATACTGTTGATGATTAATTACATAAAAAATATAACTTCTTTTTAGTATAACAGTTTTTTTCGTAATAGGGTTCTTCAAATACAAACATTATGAACTTATAACTATTGTCTTCATTAGAGCAAAGCAATTTGGTAAAACAAATAAAATATTAAAAGTGTATTTCTTCTGAATTGCTTCACAATAGTCCACACAAAATTTGCTGGAAAAGTTGGATTCTGGGACAAGTCTCTGTTAAACAGAATGTTTAACCCCTTAACCCTCGCCCCCAAAAATCACAAAAAATGACTGCTGTTAAATCAACTGCTGTTCTTGAACAATTTGGAGCTTGGTCTCTTTATGAAGATGAAAAGCTACATTTTCTATTTATGCTCTTTGTGAGATAGAAATGGCTGCAGAATTTTGAAAAGCTTTTCAAATACTCTGGCAAAGTCGCAATATCCAATATCACTAATGAGGAAATATTTTTCCTTCCACTTCATTGAGTCATCATTTCAACTTGGCCAGACTCATGTTCCATCTTCTCTCACCTCACTTCATCTGCCCTCATTCTGACTGCTTGATAATTTCTGCCTGTGCAGAAAAAAGGACCAGGAAGCATTTTGATGGCTTCATCATCAGCACACAGGCAGTGAGTGGTGCTTTAGTAGGAAACTGAGGGGTTGGATTTTGTTGCCTCCCTCTCCTGTTCTAAGAACAAAGTCACAATTACCACATTGATCGACACTGACCCTTTTTTCCCCAGAATTTTGACACAATTTTTAAATTTATTAAAATTCTTTTGCCATCTCTTCAAAGAGACATAGTTTATTGTTTCAAGTCTAAAGCAGGGTGTATTGATATGCTCCTATTACTAAGTGCTGGATTATATTTCTCTGCAATAGAACTTGGTAAAGAGAACCTACAGTAAAGATTCCAGTGGAACCGGAAGAGATAGACGGCTTGGTTACTATCATCAGTTTGACTACCAGATGTCTGTTTATAGGGAAAGTTTTGATCTTGTATCTAATAAGTCAAATCACATTAGACATAATTTAGACATTTTTCTACAAAGCCATTCTTGTTTACTTTACCTTCTCAAGAGCAAGTTTGATCAAAAAACCACCATGCTTTAAATTTTCTTGCACCACATTTCAGGTTAACTGAGTTTTAATACTAACCAGCTTTCTCTGTCTGAACAAATATGAGCTGATGAAAATGTTTTGTGAAATATGCCTCTTCTCAATATACTTAGAAAAACATATTAAATAGAAAAAAAAAACAAATAAAATATTGTGGTTTGAAAATCTTCCCTTTTATTTTATTTTATTTTATTTTTTAGCTCAGATGATCATCAAGAGATTAAAATGGAGCAGCTGCCACATCCTGCAGCCCAGGAGTAAAAAAACTCATGTAAACACCCCCAACAGGCTCCCAGTGAGTCAGTCACAACAATGGCTCAATCACAGTGAGACAACAGGCCCCAAATTGAGACGTACACAGAGACACAGAGACAAAAAGAACTTTGATGAAAAAATGATAGAGTCAGATGGCATATCACTTGTCACATCAGCAGCGCAGGGATTACTGGCTGATTAGCAGTGTAGCTCAGGGATCTGATACAGAGCTGCTGCACTGCGGCACAAACAAAACCAGACATGCCTTACAAACACATACTTCTCTTACATGAAACATGTCACAGTTATCCTATCTCATTGTTATTTCACTCATATTACAATGTGCCAAGGATAATATTCACATTCAAAGATAGATATTGATCATGCAGACCAATAAGATAAGAGGAGTGATGAGAAATGACAACAAAATGAGATCTGTGAAGATCAGTCTGACATAAACTGACATTTTTCTGTCCAATCAGAGGCTTTATTTCAGCATTCCATTTCACTCCAGCCACATGATCAACTTTATTCGCTGTACCCCTTTCCAGTTTTTCTTAAATGGCTCTCCTAATCATCATTATCATTTTCAAACATCCATGAGTGAAATAGTTATGATCACTATTTGTTCATGTACAGACAAATGGATAAAAAGTGGTTTGGCAGCTAATTCCAAAATTCCACCAGTCTTCACATGCAGTTTGGTTTGAACCAATCAGTGGACAGAATTAATACAAGTAAACATGTTAGCCCATAAATTAAACACCATACCAATGCTAGTTCAATAAATTCCCAAAATAGCTTGAAAGAATGTTCTCAACCACATGATATGATTTCCCTGTCTGTGCCATGTTTCATGTTGCATCTCTTCTCTGCTCCTCCTGACTCTGTTGGCTGTTGATTGCTTCCACTTGTGTTCTGCCTACATAAACTTCTGCTCTGCACTTGGTGAAAAATTGTTTGTCGTCAACCATCGAGCGTTCTTTGCTTGATGGTTCCTATTCCAATTTTCTGACTTTTAACGAGTCATGGCATAGTTGCTCTGAAAAATCAACTTATTTAGGACTGTCCACTTAATTTCAAAACTTAATTAGATTACAGGTTACTTTCAGATGTCCTAGGAATAAAAAAAGATAAAAATAAAAAATTTCAAAGTGACAGTAATAGGCATGATGAATCATAAACAGATAAATTATGGAACTTCTCTGTGATAAACGTAAGATTAAACGTCTTTATTCAAGTTGATCGATCGGTATTTCACTCTTCCACTAGATGAATAATGACAGTACAAGAGTCACACCTTTTCTACTGCGTATGCTGACAGAAACAACACAAACTAGAAATCAGAAAGCTGACTACCACAAGTCTTGTGAATTTTTTAAAATTGTTCATTCAACTAGGCAAAAGAAAATTCAAGACTTCCACTGTTTTGACAACACTTCAGTTCAAAAATATAAATCTACCTTGAAAAGCTTAAAACCACCAGGAAGACAGCCTTCTCTGTTCATGACTGGGTTCAGATAATTAACATTAAGCCTGCTCTTACACCATCAAGGTTGTTGATGTCTCGTATCCTTCCTTAGACCAGTGCAGCAGCATGGTAAAGAAATGGACAGATCTTGGCAGTCACATGTCAGTCACAGTCCTGATGAAAATTTATTTGTCAAGCTGAACCCAAGGCCAGCTGTTGAATTGTAGATGCAGGGGCTAAAGATGGGACAGATGGGAGCAGCATTAGTATTTTCATCATATACAATGAAGAAACCTGAAGGACTATAACAAAGACATCATTTATTGTAAGGAGAGGATAAATCATAAACACCAGGAGAAATTAAAATAAAATGTTGCGTGCACCATTGTATATAGTATTCATAGCGAAGATATGCTGACAGGAAATGGCCTGTCTGAGCCTGAATGAAAACCAACAAAGCAAACTTTTCTTTTCTTGATGGTGTCTTTAGTCCAAAATAAGTGTTTTCATATGTAAAT